CCCCAAAACCCCAAAACCCCATATTTATAGAATGCAGAATTTAATTAGGATTAATGAAATCAAGTTCACATATAAAAATTTTGGGCATACTGATCTTCAAATGTAGCAGACTCATAGTACAATCTCTGAAAATCGAATGTGTCTTGATTTCCTAGTCTCGTTTATTAACTAGCTTTTTATCTGAAGAGTGGCTTTACTCCAGAGTAAATAGAACCAATTTTTATGCCGTTTACCTTTCTGTACCATCTGTATCTTAGGAATTCGTACTTAGTCATTTTAGACTTTTTCTCCTTTACATATTCTCTTAGAATAGGAACGTAAAATTAGTGTTCAATGTGCAATATGTTATAGTACTTGCTTTTATAAAGGATGTTATTGCTGAGTAGAGCTCTGATAATTGGATATTTCATGAACTCTTAAAGTGTGTGATAGTTGCTAATATCGAGGTAAAATTTAGCCTTGTTGGAGAATTCTTCAAGAGCATCTAGTATGGCATAATCAATATCTCCATTATCCAAGAGATCACCTAACTCAGGATGCAAGTAAAGTTTATTCAGTCTATATATGAATTCATTCTTTATCTTATCAAATGCTGGATGCTATTTAAATAAATTGAATTATATATTAGTTACATTAAGCTCAAGCAGTTATTCAAAAGATTAGTCTTTTTACCTTGCCTTGACAATTCTATAGTTAATGAAGCAATTAAATATTAACTTACTCAGTAAAAACTGTTATGAAATACATTGATGGTCCAAGTTTTCTATTAATTGCCTTCATCTGATCTCTGTTAAAGATTGGTTCCATCAAAGTAGCTCTATCCTCCATTTCAAAACCAAGCATTTCAACTGTTGGAATAACGTAGTCTGGCTATTAAAGGTCATTATAAATTTCTTCATTTAGGTAATGACTCATATTTGATTCCATTATCACTGGGAAATGATTGCGATACCAAAGAGGCTAGCTGTTCTACAATAATGTAAATAATCACTTAACTTACATGCAATCTAAGAAGGAGACTATCAAAATAATCAATTGCTAGGTTACCACAAGATTTCATGTTATATAATTCCTAAACGCTCTCCATTACAATTAGACAGTGCAAGTATTTATCGCCTAGTAGATCACTCTAATTTATGTTGTCTTTGAAGGTCTCTTTCTCTTATCTGTATTTTTGGACCAACTGCAATTAGTTTATCACGTCGATGTGTTCTCCGTAATACTTATGCGTGTAGCCAGCAATATGATTGATTAAATCAAACAAAAAATTCATCACTTCAATACCTGATCTGAACTGGCTTGAGTGATAAAATTATGCAGGCTTTTTCTCTTGTTCTTTTCTCAATACAACATCATAAACTAGAAGTAGTCTTGCTTTAAATTAATCATTTTAGTATGATCTAGAGATGATCTCACATATTTTATCTAGGTTATCGATTATTGGAGTTTCTCTATAGTCCTTAATTCTATACTTATCTAAGTATGATCTCAATTCCTTTTTGTCTTCTATTGATTCGATCGTAAAGCCAGCAGTCATTGCTACAAACTCATAAAAATCAGAATATTTTACAATAATTGTTAGTAGCTTTGTCGATACACTTAGCCAAGTCTTATTCAAACAAGTTCTTATCATAAAATCTATAGACTACTTTCATAAACTCAGACCTAAGGAATGTATTATGATAGCAAGTCAAAAGCTTACTCAGAGATTATAGGCTGATTCTTTTTCTAAAGCATTTATTAATTTTTATTAGCGAGTGAATCTATAATTGCTTTCTCAAAGGAGAATAAAAACATGTCAAAGCTGACAATTCCTTACTCTCTAAAGTCATAATAAACCACTAAGGGGTCCTATATGAGCAATATAAATTTTGTAATCTTACTTGTGATGAGTTTTGGAATTTCCTGATGTTATATCTTAAGAACCAAGACTTTCCTTATTTAGTGGCACCAGTGACAAAGCATAAATTCCTTGCATTTATATTCTCAGAGTATATATTCTTGAAAGAAAACATGCATTTTTGCATTAGACTGACAAAATTATCATTTTTTATAAAAGGCACAACGAAATCTTTGCCCTTTGCGTCTTAAATTCTAAGATCTCTCTCAGATGGAGTGGTCTTTTTGAACAACTAATAAAGATAATTTTTAATCCAACAATGAAATGTACACTAGGAGCCAAATCATGTATTTTAGAAGAAGCAAGAGCGTTAGAGTCCGATAGACGGAAGTATTTGTCCTCTATTCTTTATTATATATTCCTATATCTCTAATTCAAAGTTCTAAGCAGCTTCATTAAGTTTAAAAATGTTATTATATTAATTAATTAATCTATATTATTTTTACAATCATTGATTTTAATGAAAATAATCACAGAAGGGGTTTTGGGGTTTTGGGGTTTTGGGGTTTTGGGG